CCAAGTACGCCCATTTCATCGCTCTACCACCGAATTTCACAGCAACAAAAATTGCATCAGTCTTTGCAGAAAACATTTGTCGGTTACACGGCATTCCTCGTTCCATTGTATCTGACAGGGATAGTATTTTTGTTAGCAAATTCTGGGCGGAATTGGCTCGTCTAAGTGGCACCAAGCTTTGTTATAGCACCGCCCACCACCCTGAGTCAGATGGCCAAACAGAAGTTACAAACAGGGGTTTTGAGCAATATTTACGCTGTTATACAATGGAATCACCAAGGCAATGGGCACATTACCTTCCTTGGGCGGAGTTTTCTTACAACACCGCATACCATTCCTCGATTGGGGCTTCTCCCTTTCAGATTGTGTATGGCCGAAGCCCTCCCATCATCCCACCATATGAGGGTACTGCTTCATCGGTAGAAGCTGTTGACGAGTTATTAACCCGTCGAGACACAGTGATACGTTAGCTCCGGGAAACCTTGCATCGGACTCGCCAGCGAATGAAGGCTCAGGCGGACAAAAGCAGAAGAGATGTCCAGTTTCAGGTGGGAGACCCTGTCCTGGTTAAGCTGCAGCCCTACCGTCAGCGCTCCGTCCGCAATCACTCCTTCTCCAAGCTGAGGCGTCGCTTCTATGGTCCTTTTCCCATCATTGAACGTCTAGGGCAGGTAGCCTACAGATTGCAATTGCCGGCACAATCTCGTATTCATCCAGTGTTCCACGTCTCACTGCTTAAGCCGTTTCGTCAGAACCAGTCCTTTCATGCCACACCACTTCCCCCTGTAAGTTGGGATAACCACCCCATCACCACGCTTGTCGCAGTGCTTCGTACCCGCGTCCTCCAACACGGGAAAGAGGAGATTTTGCAACTCCTTGTACAGTGGATGGGGCTACCGTTAGAAGACGCCACTTGGATCTCCTACGATGAGTTCTGCCAGGCCTTCCCAACCTTTGATCTTGAGGACAAGATCTTGTCTTCAAGGGGTAAGGGAACTGATAGGCACCCACCGTCCCATGAGATGAACACCAGGCACCCTCCTTTTAAGGAAGGGAACACCAGCAAGGAGATGAGCACCATTGCTGACCAAGAGATGGAGAAGGAGACAGCTTCACAGACGCGTGGAGTTGTTAGAACGGAAAGAAGACAGAGGAAGGCACCTCAGTGGCTTGAGGACTTCATAACACCAACACGTGGCTGAGTTGTGACTAAGTTGACTGAAAGAAGTGATATTGGGCTTGTTAAATATAGTCCATTATGTTAGGACATTACACTTAAATAATGTAAATGGGCTTTTGGCATACCAAGCCCATCATATAATTCTTAGGCATTTACAATTCTGTTTCACCATATAACCATAGTAGGGACCATCAGAGGAGGGTATTGAACATTGTTGTAACAACTTCTTCTTCCTTCGCATGAATATTTTCTGGAGTAACCGGCATACTCGAAATTGCCGTTGATAATACCAATTTTCCAGTATTTTCCTTTCATCTGGAAGTCCTCTGATATATCTGGTATCGTCCCCAATATTGTTGTCATCGTCTTTCTGTCCATCCAGGTGCCCAACCCATCTCTCAAAAGAAAAAGGAAGATCGACCGTGAACATATATAGGCAATAGAGGAACATGCCAAGGAGTTATCGAAGACTGGCTTTATTAGAGAGATCAATATACATCTGGCTCTCCAATGTGATCTTGGTAAAAAAGTCAAGAGGCAAATGACAAGTATGTGTAAACTATACAGATTTGAACAAAGTTTGCTCCAAGTACTCTTATCCCATGTCAAGCATAAATCAGTTAGTGGACTACTATTCTAGATTTCAGCTCCTCTCCTTCATGGATGCTTATTTGAGGTACAACCAAATTCCCCTCCACCTAACTGATCAAGAGAAAAGAACCTTTCATTACTGAAAAGGCAAATTATTATTACATTGTTATGCACTTTGGACTTAAGTGGAAATTATATTTCTACTTACAGCTATGTTTGTTTTACTTTCATGGAATAGAAATGATGAAATTTTGCTTAAAAGGTTGTTTTCAATCAAGGTAGCTTAGGTTTCGGTTATTTTTTATTAACAGAGAACATCATCCACAAAATTAAAGAAGTTGGTATAGAATTTTGCTTAAAATCTTTATGTTAAGCTCTATATATTAATTTGATTAGTTCCCGGCTTATCAAAGAGATTATTAGACACCATAGGTTTTCATCGAGCATACAAACAGTGAGAAACAAATCTAAATTTCAAAAAAGATATTCTCCGTTCAACAATTGGATACCTAGTTCTAACTGAGTTTGTTTTCATCATACTAGGAGAAAATCTACCAAACGTAACTTTAAGTTTTGGGAACCAAATTAGGGAAAGGCTTCGATAGGAAATTGGGTGTGGTCACAGTGCTGTTCTTCGATTGCAGTAGCTGGGAATCATTTTGATTCATATTACTTGCTTGATAATATGGATTATTAGAGGAAGAAATGGGTCTAGGATAGATATTTCTTTTTGGTACTAACGTTCTATGCTACTTATAATTCATTTTCATATGTTTTGTGAGTTCTTAGTAGGAATGGTGTCATGACGGGAGAAAACAATTTGGAACCCCGAGAATCCATCGGAACTTACTAGAGAAAAATTCTAATTTGGTGAAAATCTATTTGATGTGACACTTTTGTAAATATTATGCGGAAAATCTATTCTAAAAACTCCGATCCAAAATGGACTAAAAAGTTAAGTGGATGCAATACATCACTTCAAAAAAAAAAAAAAAAAAAACTGGCGTGTATTTCTGTAGATAATAACAAGTTTTATTAATATGATGTTAAAGAAGAAATTATCTCATATTATAGAAATAAATTTATAAGCTCCACTACCTGAAAAAATAAAAAGAAAAAAAAATGACACAATTATCAAAGAGTGTGTAAAAAAAACTTATCTCAATTAACATAAAAATAAATTTTCCCTATAACATACATATAACCTTGTTTTCATTCTATTTTCTCTTTTTAAAATATTGCCAAAATTGTAAACATAAAAATATTATTTTTATCATTTCCCTCATAAAATTTTAAAATTAAAATCCAGAAAAAAAAAATATTTTTACAATTTCTAATAAAAACAAAAATCGAAACAAACGAGACTGCCCTGCTCCAACAATCTCGAGGGGCATACCCTCTACCTAACCTCTTAATTCCAATTCATAATCATACAAATTCACATGGAAACCAAAAGAAGGCAAAAACAATTAATCATTGCAAACAAAGAAAAACTACTAGACTTTGGCCATCTTTGTTTAAACAAAATGCACTCCACACAGTGGCGTAGCAACATTATATTTTGGTGGAGCCTCGGTTCCGACTACATTTCAATGAATTTTATTTGTTATATATAATTATGGGAAATAATTTTCTCATGTTGCATGAGACAAGTTGTCTCATGCAACACATAAAAAAGTGAGTGGGATCCACTAGAAAGAAGAGAGAGAAAAGAAAAAAGTGGATCCTACTCACTTTTGTGTGTGTTGCATGAGACAACTTGTCTCATGCAACATGAGAAAAATATATCCCTATAATTATATAAGTAATTATAATTGGGTTCTAACTAAAATTATAAGTTAGTCCTAGCTAAAATTGTAACAATGGTAACAGACGAAGATTTGGAGTTGCTTTGTTTGTAGGATCATATAACAAATTGATTTCTCCTTAATTTCTTCTTTTTCTTCTTTCATCTTTTTTCAATTAGCGTTTTCTTCTAACTTTTTTTTTCTTATTCGCATAGACCACCAGGAACCTAACCATTTATGTGGCAAGGTACGATGTTTTGTTCCTTTCTCAAGATTTTAGGAATACATATTCTTGGAATATGCATTGGTAATTATATTGTCCGCTCGGAAAAAAAAAATGATTTATATTTTTGAATCTTGTAAAAGAGAAATTCTTTGTTTTTGCTGACCATAATTATTTATTAAGTGTTTTTAACATGAGTGAAATTCATTCCCCTTTTTTTTATTTATAACTTTTTTTTTGTGCGGTTGTATTTATTGATTTTATTTCCTTTGAAAAATGTAGTGCTGTTTTACATTTTCCTTTTTTTAAAAAAAATTACTTTAATGTAGAGTTACAGTTGCTATTGGTAATGGAATTGAATTGTTTGTTGGAGTTATTTGTATTTGATTTCACAACAGGAATGAGAATTTTGGCGATTAATCAATGAAAACTGTTAAAGAGAAAAATCAATGAAGATATATGTATATATATAGAGTATGAAAATTTCTTGTACATATTCATTAACAACTTCTTTGTTTTTTTTGTATTTTTAAAAATTTTAAAATATCTAAACACTAATTAAATGATTTATCTGGATTCAATGTCATTTAAATGATTTTAGACATTTGTTGCTGATTGTTCCATGTTTCTTTTTAATTGTGAAATTTGTCCCTCTACGTTGATGTTCTTCACAGGTCACAACTAGGGGTATAAATGGACCAAGTTAGACCAAGCTTTAATAGCTTAAGTCTATGTAAAATATTTAGAGCCTATACTGACCTATTAACCTATTAAAGACTTGATTTATAAGTCTACCCTGACCTATTATAAAAAACTAAAAAACTAAAAAATATAATTCGACTTGTAAGACCTACCAAGTTGCAAATTAAAGTTTATAGGCCTCAAACCAAATTAAAATATAAAAGATAAAAAAAAGTATTCACAAAGATTACATGAAATAAATTTTCATTAATATCACATGAAATAAATTTTCATTAACATCATATGAAATAAATTTTCATTAACATCACATAAAATAATATTCATATAGATCACATGAAAATGTTCATAAAATTCACATGAAAATTTCATATATGTATATATGCATATACTTTGCACTTTCTTTACTAATTTATTTTTATGTTATATTTTAAATTTTAAATAAATTTATCTTAGCATCACTTAGCACCTTTGTGCTATTGCTTTTCTCGAGAATTTTTCATATGTTTTCGCCGGTGTTTAATAATCCGGTGTTTAATAATCCGTAGGAATGTAGGATGGATCAATATATGAAAGTCATTGCCTTCTTGCATAAATAGCCACCTTACAAACTGTGATTCATACATTACACTAGATATATCTCCTCTACTAAAAAAACCCCAAAGCATCAAATAAGTCAACCAAACTTGACTGAAATATGGCACAAGACTGGGAGCAGCATGGAGAACTTCTGAACTCAGAAGCACTTCCGGTGAACAATAGCTGGACCAGATTCTTCAAATTCACCCTTGGAGATCCACATCTGCATTAAATAAAACAAAACAAAGAAGGCAATGACTTTCATATATTGATCCATCCTACATTCCTACGGATTATTAAAAACCGGTGAAAATATATGAAAAATTCTCGAGAAAAGCAATAGCACAAACCTGTTGAAAGGTGCTAAGTGATGCTAAGATAGACCCACCAATCCAGACACTGTATTTCCTCTCAGGAGGAGCCACCACCTTGATTTTCATGCTGCTCGGAGCAAGAGCAGTGATTTCCTTACTCATTCGATCAGCAATGCCAGGAAACATAGTTGACCCACCACTAAGCACAATATTTCCATATAGATCCTTCCTAATATCAACATCACATTTCATGATGGAGTTGTACGTAGTTTCATGGATTCCAGTAGCTTCCATACCAATTAGAGAAGGCTGGAAGAGAACTTCTGGGCAACGGAATCTCTCAGACCCTATTGTAATGACCTGTCCATCAGGTAATTCGTAGCTTTTCTCCACTGCAGAACTACTCTTAGCAGTCTCCATTTCTTGTTCAAAATCAAGGGCCACATAAGCTAATTTCTCCTTCACATCACGTACAATTTCCCGTTCAGCAGTGGTAGTGAAAGAGTATCCTCTCTCAGTTAGAATTTTCATCAAGTACTCCGTTAAATCTCGGCCAGCAAGGTCCAACCTAAGGATAGCATGAGGAAGAGAATAACCTTCATATATGGGCACTGTGTGGCTCACACCATCACCAGAATCAAGCACAATACCTGTTCATATAACCAATAGCTCAATAACAATACAACACAAACCAGGAAGGAAAATAATAGCTAAAGACAGTGTATAATTGCATGTATGTGGCATCCTTGTAGATATGGAATCATACACAGACCACATAATTCAACTGTAGTAATAAAATAAACCAAGAAACTAACTCAAATTTCAATAGTTCTACAGTAGTTAAACCAAGGTAGAACTGGGATTTAAATAAATTTAAATATATCTTACATTATATCTCTATATAAAGATAATAATGTTCCTTTCTACTTGAAATTGTCTAGGAATTATATTTATCAAAGCAGGAGTACAAGTAATAAACCACTCCCCATTAAACCCCGACTAGCGAGGGTGGGGTAATATAATATGTAAATCAGCATTATAAACAAAAATAAGGCCCTTGGTCCAATGGCGCAACCTGTGCTTAGTGCTTACGTAAAGTTTGTGCTTGGGACACACAAGTTTCAACATTCCGGACAAAAGAGAAATAATAGTCACTCCACTCATTCACCCTCAAACTGGCTGAGCCACCGTCCAGTTTGGCTGTTTGCCTGGTTTTCTAGTTCCCAGGCCAGATTTCAGAATTCTGGTTATGATGGCTAGACCAGACTGACTCCTAGGTCAAGCAGTCAGACTAGCAAGTCCAGTCCGGATTTCACTTTCAGAACTATGATATATACAAAACCCAGTTTTAGTCCCCAAATTTCCAATCCATGTCCATCAAAACTTGACCAATTTGACCTAGCCCAATCAAAGTCCCATGATCACAAAATAGTAAAAACAAAATCAAGTACAGAAACAAACCTGTTGTGCGTCCACTGGCATACAGAGACAAAACAGCCTGAATGGCAACATACATGGCAGGCACATTGAAGGTTTCAAACATAATTTGGGTCATCTTCTCTCTGTTGGCCTTGGGATTGAGTGGCGCCTCAGTGAGAAGAACTGGGTGTTCATCAGGGGCAACACGGAGCTCATTGTAAAATGTGTGATGCCAAATCTTTTCCATGTCATCCCAGTTGCTAACTATACCATGCTCTATTGGATACTTCAATGTGAGTATACCCCTTTTTGACTGGGCTTCATCACCCACATAAGCATCCTTCTGACCCATCCCAACCATAACACCCGTGTGACGAGGTCGCCCAACAATACTAGGAAACACAGCCCTTGGGGCATCATCACCTGCAAAACCAGCCTGCAAGACAAAAAATACACACAGGAAATATCAGAAGACGAAATAAAACAAAACTACTGTATTTCATAATAGCCAAGCACATGAAAACTTTGTTCCATAGCAGAACAAGTACCATCCCATTCTTCCATGAAGATAAAACATTCGGAGTGCTAATCACTATAAACTGAAGGAATTACCCATATTTAAATCATAATAAATGCACTAACCTTGACCATTCCAGTTCCATTGTCAACAACAAGAGGTTGAATGTCCTCAGCATCAGCCATCTTTTATAACCTGCTCAGCACAAAAGAAAGGGAAAGAAAGACACAGTTCAAGGACTTCGTTCATATAAAATCAAAACAAAATTCAAAAACAAGCTAAGAAGGACACCATTTAGAATTTTCTTTCAGTAAACTGCAAGGCAATTTCCCTATCCCAGCAATTCTTGCAATAAAATAAAATAAAATAAATAATAAAACCCAAAAGATCATAACCATGCAACACGCCCAAAAAGCTCATAATCAAAAGAAAAATCATTTAAACACAGATAAGCATATTAATTAATAGAAAATGAAATGAAAATCAAAATCAGCCAACATATCACAACAAATTCAAGTTAAAACCGAAGCTACCAACAGAAGAGGCACCCTAAAAGACAGACCCAGATCAATAAGATCAAGTAAAAGATCATAACTTTTCGGGTTCAGAAACTCATCATCGGAGAAACAACAGAGGATTACGGTCCTGAAAACATGCAACAAGAAAATCCAACCATAAATCACAAGCGCAAAGTTGAGATCGAAACGCACCTTTTCCTCACGAAACGCGAACTAGCTACGCAGGGAAGGGACGGGTCGTACGATGTAATGGTTCAGTGCAGCAGCATAAGAGGTAGGTGAAGTGTTTCTTCAGGTGAGCATTTTATATTCAGTGACGCAAGCTAAATGACACTGAAATGCGAGTAAAATGAAACTCAAATGCACATTCGAAAATGCAGGTTTGGGATGCGTTTGGTTCCCCGCAAAAACAGCGCGGAATGTAAGAGGAAAATACGTGGACTCTCTGCCCGATGCCAAACAGAGAAGAGAAAACACCGCCGTGACTTTTTCTGCGGAAAGAGAATCCATTTTTGATTTGGAAATTTGATGCTAAGTAAAGTTATCATCGCTGCCGTCCATTCCATCCAGTGCTGCGTGTGACGGCACATCAGCATTAACTACCGTTAATCAGAATAAATTCTCATATACTTTTTAGAATAATATATTTACTATAACTTTCATGATAAAATTTTAAAATTTGACATCAAGCTATCATAATGAAAATTAATAATAAATTAATAAATTTAATTGGTAAAATTATAATTATTAATTAGTGGAAATTAAAAATTATGGTTTAATTTGATGTAAAATTTTAAAATTTGATATCAATATGAAAGATCTTACTCAAAATTTGATTTGTATTATTAATCGCTATCAACATGTTTTTGACTGAAAGATATTATATATAAAAATTTATTTGTACATCATTTCTTGAAAGTATGGATTATATGATCCTTATCTATGAATGGTTCAACGCTCCAACAATATATTCAAACACAACTTGAGGAATTGGGAAATAAAATATAAGTGATTGAAATAGACAAGAATAAGAATGAAAAGGAAATGTGTAAAATATATTAAATATTTATTAACCAATTTGTAATAGTGTAAAATACTTATATAACCATCAAAAGAAATATTCTTTTACAGGGATATAAGTATTTAATATAAATTCCCTTATATTTTTGAAGAAAATTTTCTTTCCATCTAATTAGCTTAATATATATCACTATTCATGCGGTAAGGGGTTACATTCAGAAAGAAAAATTATATGAAGACTTACGACGGGATTTGACAATCTCAAAAGAACACGACTAGCATACAAGTTAGGTAACATAGCACGACAAGATTTTAATGTCAAACAGAAAGCATTAAAATATTAATTTATACTTTCAAAGAGAGAAATTTTTGCAGAGAAATATAGAGATCCAAAGAAATGCAAGTACACGTGAAATAAACAAAACAATATCTAGTCAGGGCCTCACACAGGCCAAAGAATTCATAATCAACCAGTATAGTTCAACAATATATCTAAGTATCTAACAAAGCGACCATCAAATTTATAGATAATTTTAGTGTTATCAAACTTCCCGGTCGGAATATTGGATTAAGGGATCACCAATTCAATTAATAGGTCATATATTTAACAACATGAATTAAATATATAATAAAATACAATAAATATAAAATCAAAAACAAATTCTTGGAAAATCTTTGGGGGCCAGAGCACATGCCTCTCTCCTCGAGGGGAGATTAGTCTCATCCTTTCTCCGGTAGCGAAGCTCAATGCACCCACTATTCCAATGAAGGAGTAGCCTTCGGGCCGTACTCCGAGAACAAGGTGACCGGAGGAGATTGAATAGGGATACTCTCCCGGTTCTATCCAAAATAATAATAATAATAATTAGAGTTGATTTAGTGTTAAGTAATAAGTGAAATAAGTTATAATTGATATGGTTTAGTTTTGAATCTCAGTAGTGAATTACCCGTGCGATGCCCGGGGGAAAAAGAACAAAATATTTATCGTCTGCCGTGGTTGGTTAATCGCACTGCAAACCTTATACTTACAAAAACCTGTGTTATTATCTTATTTTATATTTCAGGTGGAAAAAATTACAGCATTGACACAGAACTTTGCAAATATCAATCATAAACAAAAATTTGCTATCGAAAGTGATCAATATTATGCAAATCAAATACAGTTATCTACTCGATGAGTTATGTAAAAAATAAATACGCCACAGTAGACTATGTTAAAATGAGGATGGGTAAAAAAAGAAAAATGCATACAACTTATTGCTAACTATAACAGCACTTATAAAATCAAGGTAACAAACAGACCAAGCAAATATGGAATTAAAAGATCAGTTTGTACCTATAATATGAAAACACTATTAATTCAGTGTCATTCTGTAGCAATCATTGGAGGAATGAGTTCAACACATATCAAACATGTGATTTCCTATGTTTATGCATTACCAGGGACATCCTCTTCTACCATCATATTTATGCCTACGATACAAAGTGCAAATACTTATTAAATAAATTATGCTAATATGTTAACACCCAGAAGTAATAATCTCAGGAAAAAAAATGAGTTATTTTTTTTTAGAACCCAAAAAACGTTGTCTAAAAGGGATTTGAAAGCAAATTAACCAAATAATCATGTATGAGTCATATTTTTTGCTTACATTGGAACAAATGTGTCTAAACAGCATCAAATCAATACACATGCTAAAAACTTGTAACAATATAAAGAACCCACAATGATAAATTTTTAAAAAACAATAACATACATTTGGGTCCACCAAAGACTTAAAGAATGAGGTGACAATAGCTTCGTTGCTTCAAACACTTGAATCTTAATATCTTGGCTCATTATATGACTCCAAAATATTTTTTTTTACGTTGACCTTAAATAACATGGAATTTTCATTAAGAACGTTAAGTTTTCCTGGATAATGTTCCAAATCAGAACCCCACATAAAAAAACTCCTTCAAAATTAAGTATAACTCGTGCGATGCACGGGAAAAAAGAAATTTGTTTTTCTGTCTCGTAAAAGTTAATGTAAATCATAAAAATATATCTCTGCATTTTATTTAAATCAATATTGTTAGCTACCTAACTCCAACTTTTTGTACATATAGAGTTGGCAAATTTTTGAGTTATTATGTTTAATATAAAATAAGAAGAGCAAAATTTTAATTTAATTACAAAAAAATATAGGCGGGTCAGTCCTCAAGACCGACTCCACTTTGCAACCTCTAATTGTCAGCATTATATACCAGCATGTAATAAATTTTTATATTATCCACACGTAAAAGTTCTTATATTTGCATCTAAGTTTTTATATTTTATTTCAGAGATGGACTTTCATTTATTACAATCAGATTTTAAAAAAAATAATAAATAATTATTTTTTGCAAGGATTTGCGTCGTTTGTATTTGAAATTTTACAAATTTATATTTACAAAAATTAAAATCACATTTAAGAATTTAATTATAAAAGAAGAAGGATGCAATTTTAATTTAATTATGAAAATGTTTGGTAGGCCGGCCCTCCGGGCCGAACTCAGTTTGCCACCTATAACTATTAGCATGTAATAGGTTTTTATATTTATTCACAAAAAAGGCTCTTATTCACAAAAAAATAATAAATAGTTATCTTTTTGTAAGAATTTGTGTCGTTAATATTTGGAATTTTATAAATTTGTATTTACAAAAATTGAAATATGAATTAAGAATTTAATTATAAAAGAAGAATAATGGAATTTTAATTTAATTATAAAAATGTGTTGGCAGGCAGGGCGGGCAGGCCCTCTGGGCCAAGTCCAGTTTGCAACCTTTAACCATCAGCATTTTATGTAAATAATTATTTTTTGCAAGGATTTGCGTCGTTTGTATTTGAAACTTTACAAATTTGTATTTACAAAAATTAAAATCAAATTTAATAATTTAATTACAAAAAGAAGAATAATGAAATTTTAATTTAATTATAAAAATGTTTGGTAGGCCGGCCCTCCGGGTCGAACCCAGTTTGCCACATATAACTATTAGCATGTAATAGGTTTTTATATTTATTCACAAAAAAGGCTCTTATTCACAATAAATAATAAATAGTCATTTTTTGTAAGGATTTGTGTCGTTAATATTTGAAATTTTATAAATTTGTATTTACATCCTCATTGAAATATGAATTAGGAATTTTTTTTTTTGGTAACCTTATTAGGAATTTAATTATAAAAGAAGAATAGTGAAATTTTAATTTAATTATAAAAATGTGTTGGCAGGCGCGGCGGGCAGGCCCTCTAGGCCAAGACCAGTTTACAACCTTTAACTATCAGCATTTTATGTAAATAATTATTTGAGTAAAAACCCTTTTTGGTCCCTCGCAATATCTACGAAATCATTTTTAGTCCCTAGCAATAAAAAAGGACCAAATTGGTCCCTTAAATTATGAAAAAAAGGGCCACGTTAGTCCTTATGTCAACTCCTCCGTCACTAACGTGGCCCTTTTTACATACTGTTAGGGACCAATTTGGTCCTTTTTATTGCTAGGGACTAAAAAGGATTTCGTAGATATTGCCAGGGACCAAAAAGGGTGTTCACTCTAATTATTTTTTGCAAGAATTTGCGTCGTTTGTAGTTGAAATTTTACAAATTTGTATTTACAAAAATTAAAATCATATTTAAGTTGTGGAGCAGAAAGCTGGCCAGCACATAGGCAACATAAAACGGCAGTAAGACCGGCAATGCTATATGGAGCAGAATGCTGGCCAGCACATAGGCAACATGAGCATAAGATGGGAGTAGCAGAGATGAGGATGTTAAGGTGGATGTGTGGTTACACAAGGATGGATAAGATAAGAAATGAAGATATTCGACGAAAGGTCGGAGTAGTACCGGTAGCCGAGAAGATGAGAGAACATAGATTGAGGTGGTTTGGGCACGTGATGAGAAGACCCATGGATGCTCCTGTAAGAACAGAAGTTTGTTACCAAGAGCTCAACACAAAAAGAGGCAGAGGTAGCCGAAGCTTACTTGGGGGAAAGTAGTAAAACAAGATTTAATGGAGTGGGATATAGATTGGCGGACAGTATGTCTTAGAACGGAATGGAGAAAAGCTATAAGTATAGTGGAGGGTTAGACCCGCTGTTATTCCTATGTTCCAAATGGTCCCTTTTTAGTCCTTTTCCCCTTCATTTCCCCCACTTCTTCTTGTCCCTTTCTTTTTTTTACTTTTATTTATTTATATATACATATATTGTTATTTTATTTTATCTTATTTTATATTTTTATTTTATTTGTTTATTTTTATTTATTTA